TTTGGAAAATTTGGTTGTTGTGGTGAAAATTTCGCTTTTACTTGAGTTGAGGTCTTCAAACTTGATGAATTATTCGTGAATTTGTCAACATTTGGAAACTTTTGATTATTTGCAAATTTTTGCGAATTCTCAAATTTTCTATTGTTGTCATATTTGCGAATATATGAACTTTGTCAACAGAATTTATTTGTTTATGAAAATGCGAAGTTGTTTGAGTGTTTTTATTTTGAAATTTTGATGATGTTTTTGAAATTTGTTCTTTTTCATTATTCACAACTTGCCAGAATATTGCTTTTCTTGCTTGTCTTTTTGAAACATTATTTTCTGTTGAATAATTTCCAACCATCAATTTGAATTCTTGAGAATTTAATTTCACTTCAACCTTTGAATTTTCAGCTTTTTCAAAAGGTTTGTTTAATTTTTCACCTTTAACCACCCATTTTTGTAATGATTTTTGTTTTTGAAACACATAAGAATTTTGAGTTAAATTGTTTTCTACTGTGTTTTGATTTGCGAAGAACCCTTCAGGTGTGGACTTTTGATTATCTTTTTCAATCATTTTATTGAACTCAGGATGAACTTTCTCAGCATTTCCAGTAGTGACAAAAACTTGATTTGGAAAAATAGTTTTATCAGTACATACAAAATTTGGATATACTACTGTGTTGGTTTCCAAATAATGTGCGCCTTTGTCATTTAAAACTTTGTCAAATTCTTTTGTGTTTTCAAACACTTGATCAACCACAACCCTTTGATGTGTTTCAGTTGAATTTTTCTTTTCTTCTTTATTTTCATTAGTATCATCAGATTTCCAGCTTTCAACTTCCACATTATCAAACTTACAATGTTGCGAAGTTGAAGATGTATCAACTTTATCCTCTACTATAGAATCAACTATTATTTCGTTACCTTTGATCTTAGATGTGATATTAATGATCGACAATTGAGAACAATCAATCTCTTCTTCTTCTTCTATTTCACTGATTTCACTCACATTATCAGAATTTTCATCAATATCAGCGTAATTGAATTGTGAAGTAAGAGTTGAATTTTCGGTTTTCTTTAAGATTTTCACTTGTTCACTTTTTGTCAAACTTTCATTTACAATGTCAACCAACTCATCAGCATTCAGAAATTCATCAATTTTGACAATACCATATGAATATCTATCATCAGGTATTTTGTCAAACTGAGCAATTGTACTTTCGCAATCATAAGAAACAACATCAACTTTTTCACGCTCATACTCAAGAAAAGGTAAAAGTTTCCTATGTTGTTCTTTGCTAATATCAGAAGAATGATGTAAAGCTGTTAATTTTGCATACAATCATTTTTCTGAATTACAATATATGTTTCTTTGTGCTAGTAACAATCTAACATCATTAGAAAGATTACTCCTATCACAATCTATATTTTTGACTTGCATTTCTAATTTTTCAACTTTTCTCTTCTTTATTTCTAAATCCCTTCATGTCTCACTAAGTTGCACATTTAATTTCTTAGCTTCATTACTAGCAGACACAATAACATAATCAAAATAAGCCACAGTATCATCAAACGAAACAATTTCAGCATCATAAGCGGATAAAGGAATATTAAAAGATTCAAGAATTGCACGTACCTTGGTTTTCATGGGAGACTTGTCAGTGGATTTAGACATAAAACATTTCCCTGAAATGTTCTCTTCGCAATCCTCAAAACTTGCGAACATTGCTCCATGTGTGGGATGCCTCATTTCTTCATCATCAGATCCTGAAGACCAGATCTGATAAGTTCCACTTTCTTCTTCATTTGATTCTCCCTTAGCAACCAAAGACACTCCTTTGTTCTTTGCACGTAGTTCTTCAATCTTTTCAGAATAGTAAGCTACATCTTTGACTTTTTCTTTCTTTTCTTCTTTCTTTCGCAACATGCAATCAGCTGTGAAATGATTCGCACCATTGTAGTAGTGACAGTAAATTCCTGAATCACCCTTCAACTTTTTCTCTTCATTCACATTTTTCTGTTTTCCATCTATTTTCTCCATTTTCTTCTTCTCTTCTCCTCCAGTTCTTGTTACATCATTTTTCAAATCACTATTCTTTCCTTTCGGATTAAAAGGCTTTTTGAAAAACTTTTTAACTCTGTTGTTTGAATAGTATGCTACTACTTCATCATCAGAGTTCATCAAAAATCCTTCTACATCTGAACCATCTTTTTCATCAGTTTCGGATACTTTTGAAACAAGAGCCAAAGGACCACCAATAGCTTGTTTTGATTCTTCATACATTTCAGTGACTTCACATTCATGTGTTTTCAGTTGATTGTAAAGATCATTCAATGTAGTTGTATCAAAACATTGTTGATTCTTAATCATCATGCTCACACCTCGCCATTCCTTGCGAAGACTCATAATGAAAGTTAAATTGAACTCCATGGTAGATCTAGTAATACCATACCTATTGCAGCGAAACATAAGCTCATTCAGACGATCATAACAACTTTCGAGAGTTTCTGTATCCTTTTGTCTGAATTCCTTCAGTTCAGCTAGGCATTGCTTCACAGAGTTGATCTTCGTCTTTTCACTACCTTGATATTTTTCTTTTAGAGTATTCCAGATCTCTTTTGCTGTTTTACAACTACGAATGTAATTGTAAACCACAGGAGGTAGAGCACCTCTTAGTTCTCTCATGCATCTCTTTTCATTTTTCTTCAAACGATTTCGTTGTTCTTCAACATCAGTAGATGCAGTGGATGGTCCAATTGGTTGAACATTAGCAGGAGCTAGTACTGTTCCATCGATACACTTCCAGAGTTCTTCATCAATTCCATTTAAGTAATCTTCCATTCTATCAGCCCACTGATCATAGTATTCTGGAATTAACATTGGAATTTTGGTTGAGGAACCAAGCAAGTGAGAGAAAGAAGTCATTGAATTCATGTTGAAGTTTGCCATTGATGAACACAGAAAATATCTGAAAACTTGAAACCTTGATGAATTTCAGAATTTATCAAACGAATTGATCACAAATCACTAATCGATTACTCGATTTAACAATTCAAATGCAGAATCAATTCAAATCTGAAGATCAAAAGTGATTTTCAAAACCAAAAAGGTGCGGAAAATTTTGAGTAAATTTGTAACTCAAAAACCCAAATGATTCTTATATGAAAATCAGATCTAAGCAGTTTGAATCCTGCTCTGATACCAATTGATGAGAATTGTTATTGAGAATTTAGAAAAAGAAAAGATAGATTTGAACGATTTAAGATGAAGAACACAAAGAGTAAATATTAATCAGATCTCATATTGATTAAGACTGATTACAAAGTTAAGCAGAAGTGAGTTCAAGCATCGTGCTACAACTTCTAGCCTAAGTCCTTTATTTATAGGGAACGAACAAAAAATATACTCAGTCTATACATTTTAACTTCGCACAAAAGATGACTTAGTAAAATAACATAAAATGCGAAACTATACAAAACACTCTATTCGACTTTTACAATATACATCAACAAAATTTACATTAGACCAATGTTTTAAAACCCGGGTTTTTGGTTGACCTGGTATGATGACCGGTTCACGGGTCAACCGGTTCAACCGGTTGAACTGCCGGGTCAACCCGGTTTATGGTCTTTTTCTATTTTTATATATTTTTACTTTCATGCATAATATATAAACATATAAAACCAATAATTTAATGTCCACAAAGTTTAAATATTTAAAAACATTGAAGAAATTGCAAACGGCTCGTTGTTTTGGTGTTCGCTACATGTTTCCAACTACATAAGCGGTTGAACCACGTTTTAGGGGAAACCCGGCCGGTTCGATCCGGTTTGTATTTTTACAAAAAACCGGTCTAAATTGACCCGCCTTCTACCCCGGGTCATGGTCCAACCAATTGAACCGGCCGGGTCAACCCGGGTTTTAAAACATTGCATCAGACTCATGTTTCGAGGTCGACCACACATAGCCACCTTTGTGATTAGTGGTCATCTTCTTGCTCTCATAAAATCCTTCTTAAAATACACATTTTGCGTATTTTTCTGTTTCTATCAAATGCATTCCTCTATATCTTTAAAATATGTATTTTTTTCTCTAATTGCTTACTTCATTACAATTTTGTATACTTTTTTCTGTATGTCCTTCCGTTATAAGTATCTTGATAGAAATGTTTTTAAAAAGTTCTTCTTAAAACAATAACGGGGGGGGGGGGGGGGGGGGAAATTACATGGGTTATTTGCTTTGGATTCAATCTAAGAATGGAATTAGGATGACTTTCTATTGTACCATCAAAGTTGAGATTTCTTGATAAATAACAAGTTCCTTAAGTGTAACCTAACAATTTCTTATTCATTCCTTTATAAGTACCGGTTCATATCGCGTCTTCATTGCCCAAACATTAGTCCCTTTCCAACTTTTATATCCACTGTGTTGCTTTAAGGTACAAGTTTCAAATCAATACAACATGTAAGGCTTTTTCTATTTCATTTTTGAGTTTTTATTATATATGTCGAAATATAGAAAAACATAAAGAAGTAGGATTTAATCATGTTATATGCATTTTCAATTCTATTATTGTTCATTAGAACGGTGGTGTGATATTTAGTTCTGGATTTTAATATGGTTCACAAAGATTGAGTTGAAATCACCAAGTAAAAGGATATATGTTTTGTTGTGTATCCTGTATCCATGATATTTGATAAGCCGAAGGAAATTGATCATGAGGTTGCCTTTGATCATAAAATCTTGTTTGGAAAAAACCAAGCTGATTAAGACGAGCATTTGTCTGCATGATTTATATGTTGTATTCAGATTTATTTGGATGTTGAAACCATGAACTTCACTTAATGTGCAAGTTGAGATCGAATTTTGATCTCATGGTTTCTACTTGATAAACTTAAGAGTGTAAGATATGTCTACACACGATTAACTAATGATTTTTCTTATGTGATGGCATAAAGATTCATGTTTCTAGCTGCATCTATTTGTGTAGCTAGACATTTCATCGATATCTGCAATGGAGCAACTTGAGCACTTCAGTCACAATCATCCACTCAACCTTGTCCAACTACAGCCAAACCACCATGAAGAGGAAGAGGAAGAGGAAGATGTAGATGACCTTGTGGTTGAAGACCACCATGTTGGCCAATGCAACATGTGTGAGGAAGACATTTATTCATTTCATTTACGTTACTACACTTGCAAGAATTGCAACTACTCTTTAGACAAATTTTGCACAGAAATCCCAAAACTCTACAAGACCACCCATTACATAATCCTAACCACAATCTTACCTTGTCCAAGGGATTTCCAGATCCAGATCTTTATTTTAGTTCAAATAAAGAATGGACTTGTGGTTTATGCAATCATAAGCGGAATAACTTCTTCAATTACCATTGTTCCATTTGCAAATTCAGTATGGACATAATTTGTGCTATCATGTCTCAACAAAAGATAAACCACCCAAGCTACCATCACGAACTTCAACGTAACCCAAAGAAATTGACATCTAGTTGCAATGCATGTGGTCGCAAACATGAAGGGACTTTCTACCACTGCACCACTTGTTATTGGGTTTGGATCCATCAGGATTGTGCTTTGTCTCCTACCAAATTACTTATCCAACAACTTACTAATCACACTCTCACTTATTCTCATCCACTTACCCTCACATATTCCTTTCCCAACATTGATCAAAAAGTTAACTTCTATCCCAGATGTAGAATTCGTGATACAGGCTTCTACATTTACTTTTGGGTTTACAGGTGTGATAAATGTCGATATTATGTCCACATTCACTGTGCAACTTCAAAGTACGGCCAGTTTTTGCGCGCAGGTAATCTATATATATATATATATATATATATATATATATATATATATATATAGGTCCGGATACGATAAAAACCAAAAAATTGGTAAGAATCGTAAGGATTATTCTCCATTAATGATTTCGTCATGGACACAAACCTTAAACTCATTTCCTTGGTTTTAACGTTTTTTTTTTGTTTATTTTAATTTAAAAAAATGTATATATACTTTTTTATATTTTTAATACATACTTGAAGATAGTAGGGGTTTTTTCTTTATTTTTGTTTTTGTATTTTGATTTTTTTGCTTTTTAAAAAAAAAAAACTAAATATCGGTTTTAGTTTTAATGTTTAACCATTATAAAATTTTAAATAAGAATAATATTAAGAATCATAATATTTTCCGTTCATAATTTTTTTGAATCATATTATTTTTGGATCATAAAATATTGAATCAAATTATTTTGAATCGTAACGATATTATGCATCATAAAGTTTTGGATCATAATATATTGAATTAAATAGAGTTTTTGTTCAATACAACATTTAGATCATTATATTTTTTGAATCATTTAATTTTGAATCATATAAAATATAATAATAAAGGATTATTAAATAATTGAATCAAAATATTTTTAGATCATAACAAGTGAAAGATCATAAACATATCGAATCATAATATTTTTGAATCATAAATATTTTGAATAATCTCTATTTGATCATATTATGTTCAACATCTTTTTAAAAACTTTTAATTTTTTAAAAACAAGTTTGGTATGTAAAACACATTATGCTTATTTTGTTTAATATTTTTAATCTTTTTAACTAACAAAGTCCTTAGAATAGTGTGTAAAAGTATTTCTTAAATTTTTACTAAAATTTTTGAAGAAATTTTTATAGTGTGTAAAAGTATTTCACCACATTCATTTGAAACTCTCAAGACCTTTCATTTTTTTTCTAATAATAATTATAAGTTGTTTAATAAGGTTAAATAAACATCAAAACTAAAGTGTAATCATATATAAACTAAATTTAAATATTAAAATATATCTTTCTTCTACTTATAAATTTATGTTTTTTAACTTTTAATATTTTATACTTGATTTATTAGTTTTAATATATTGATAGATGTAAACGATCATCATTTTAAAGATACAAATTTGGAACAATTTATATAAAATATTTAGATTATTAATTTAAACATTATATTATAGGGCCAACTTAAATATAAATTTTAGTTTAACTTAAACAACCCAAAAAAATATTTTGTAAATAGATAAAAATGATAAATTGTAGTGTCTCTCTAATAATGATTATAAGTGGTTAATAAGTTTAAATAAATATCCAATCTAAACTGTATGTATAAATAAACTACATTTCAATTTTTAAAATAATTTCTTTAATTTCTACTTATAAAGTTATGTCATTAACTTTTAACATGTTATGCTTAATTTATTAGATTTAAAATATTGTTATATATAAACCATTATCAATTTAAAGTTATAATTTTTAAACTGTTTTGACAAAATACTTAAATTATTAATTTAAATATGACATTACAATGTCAACCTAAATATAAATTTCAGTTCCACTTACACAACTAAAAAATATTTTGTATATAGTTAAAAGTAATAAATTATTGCAAAAACTAAATTGTAATCTCAATTTAATTAAAATATTTTCTAAATATATTTTTATAATCATTAAAAGTTTTCAAATAAGTAAATTAAAATAATTTACAATAACAATAGTTTAAAATAACTCTATATAAATGATTATATTGTTAACTTAAAAAAGCAACTTTTGATGTTTTAAATAATTATAATGATAGAAATTAAAATATTAAGCAAATAAATTTTAAAAAATTAATTAACAATAACAACAACTATATATAACAGTAAACCATATATTATATTTAATTTATTCATGTGTAACTCGTGGATAGAAGTCATTCAAACGATTAAGATTATAAATATATATATATTATCATATAATTCAAAATAATCAATATATTATATTAATTTAGTATACAAATCATTATATCAAATTTAACATGTTATTGTTATATTTAGAAAAAAAAACATATATTTATAAGGATTTCAACTATATATGTGTTTCTACGCAACGTACGAGCATTCACCTAGTTTATTAAATAAAAAAGTCATTTAACCTGTCGTCGACATGTATAGTAGGAGGAGAATTTGTTTGATACGTCCGAGATTTCACGACAATGACAGTTTAGGTCAATTACTTTGCTACCCTTCAATTTTTACCTAATTACCATCTAGCTTTTATCACTTACACAAATGACCCTAATACTTATGATGGTTAATCAGTTTTTTCATATTAAATGTCAATGATCCAAATTTTCAAATAAACATATTGTCATTGCGGTTCCTACTAATTTTTGAGTTCGTACATGATATATATATATATATATATATATATATATATATATATATATAGAGAGAGAGAGAGAGAGAGAGAGAGTGAGAGAGAGAGAGACGAATGAGGAATCAAAAATTAATGAGGACGGCGAGGACAAATCTATACCATTTATTAATTAATTTTAATAGTTAGTTTTATTAAGATGAAAATAAACAAGTCTAGAAAAACAAGGGTTTATTTACCTAATTATCATAAAAAAGAAGGGACCGGTTTTTAAGTTGGGTGAGTAGAAAAGTAATCTACCTCTTCTAATAAATAAAACCTAAAAAATGACAGGTGTCAGTTTTTTAGAATGTCTTTTTGATACGTGATATTTTTCTATGTTTCTTCTTATTTTTTTTTGGTATTAAATTAAATTCAATTCAAATTTTGAAAATACACAATCATATCCTAATAACATTATTTTGTTTATTTTGCTTAACAAATTAATTCATAACTACTTACAATTGATAATATCTTAGGTTTTTTTTGACATTTTTTATTTTTTTATCTATATAAAATTTTTAAATATACTGATTGTGGTTTCCACAAGTTATAACCTAGTAGAATATGAGGTATTCTCGTCAAAACGTGCCACATGCGCCTAATTCTCCCTACATGTGACACGTATCGCCACTCGGGGAGTGGGTATTTTTCATTTTTCAACAGTTTTTTTTTGTCAATAATTTTTTTTCTGTAAAAATAAAAAGGTGAAATAACCAAAATTATTAAAATTTAATTTCTACAAAATAAACACAATAATAAAAATCTGATTTTATTTTTTTTATTTTTCATACAAAAAGACTTGGAATTTTTCTTAAAAAAAAAAAAGAATTAAATAATATTTCTACTTATTATAGTCCGACTTTGTAAAAAGAATTTAAAAAAAATAAGTTTTTTAAAGTATTTATATTTTGATTTTAAGAAATATTTGTTTTTATAAAATATAACATAATTTATTTTTTATTCAAGTTCAAAAAAATAAATGATAGACTTCATCATAATACTATTTTTATAAGTGTGTAACTATTTTTTTTCTTCCAAAAATACTATTGTTAAAGATACAAAGTTACAAACTTATTATTTAAATGTTTCTAACTTTTTATAAAAAATAAGACGTTATATTTTTTATTATTCAAATTAGAAATCATTTTAAAGGTTTAATATATTTTTTATATGATGAACTTGTTGAAATGAAATTTTAAAAAATAAGGTTGTTTAGATTCCAAACTTAATTTTAAAAAATTATATATATATATATATATATATATATATATATATATATATATATATATATATATATATATATATATATATATATATATATGTATTCTTTTTTGATGTTCTCAAAGATTTGTTGGCCTTAGATAAAATTTCAGTATTTGTTTTATTTATCAGGTCGTGGAAAGATTTGTAAAAATTTCAAAGATGATGACCATCCTAATCTTCTCCGTTGTCCATTTCCTGATGAAAGTTACAATCTTCTCAAGCACCATTTTATTAATAATGAGAAGGACTTTGTAGTACTTGATGAAAACCATGGTGAACCGCTCAAACATCTTACTCATAATCACCCACTGGTTCTTGTAGACAAGCAAACATCATTCAATAAGAATTCGATTTTACTTCACAACCCCTTGTAGAAAATTCAACTATTAAGTGATGGATGTGTGAAACCAATCACAGAAATACCATTTTACAAGTGTTTCCAAGATGTTCGTCTAGATTGTGGGTTTGTTCTTCATGAGTGGTGTGCTAGGCTACCCCCTAAAATAGAAGACCACCCTGGTCGTCCAAACCATAAACTTTCTCTCATACCAGGCATTACTACTAAAATGTTTCGTGTTTTTGAGTGTAAAATTTGCATGTTACCTTCCAATGGTTTTTCGTATGGATGCAGTACTTGTGATTATTCTGTAGATGTCAATTGTGGATTCCTACCCAAAGAAATCACACATGAAGCTCACCCTGACCATCTTCTCTCAAGAATAGATGCTTCATCCAGTCTATCGAAAGCACCATGCAATGCATGTGGTTGTTACATAACATATTGCATCGCATTCCGTTGCCATTCTTGCAATTTCTACTTGGATACAAAGTGTGCTTTTATGTTGCCTGGATTGATTAGGCACAAGTACGATAAGCATCCATTGACCCTAAGACACAATCCAGTCGAGAACCATCCTGGCGACTACTTTTGTGAAATTTGTGAGGAAGAATTTAACCCAGAATCTTGGTTCTATCATTGTGGCACTTGTGTCCAGTCTATGCCTACTTCATGTGCACCCTTAATCATTCAGTGTGAGCAGGCTGTATATACCCACTATAAGAGATCTATTTTCTATTTCGTTATTGTCAAGTTTGGAGGGATGTTTCGGATAAAAGATCACCGACATCTTCTAACATTTACTCAAGGGATCAACCGCCATGGTCTATGCAAGCACTGTGATGGAAAATTGCAGTATATGATGATCTTTGATTGCTTGAAATGCACGTACGCAGTTCATTATAAGTGTCGTCAACTTGCCAATAGACGAACCATGTTAATCGCAAAACTATTTTCATGTCACAAAATGAAGAAGCAACAACCTACATTATCAAAACGTATTAAAAACAAGAACCAATCATTGTTGACTTAATCCAGATATTTGAGCTTTTTTATTTAATTATTATTGCAGAAAGTTTTTGTTTTAGTAGAGTTTTGAGTAAGTTATATGCCATGTTGGCTATATATAGTACCGAGTTAGTTTCCTTATTTCCTGCATTTGTTTTAGTTTTAAATGGCAAAGTTTACGTTGATGGTATCGTCCCCTCTTGTTCTTGTTTTACTGTGATAGTGAATAAAGGTGGAGCCTTTTTTTTGCGTCCTTCTGTACCCTGTTTTAATTCATAAAACCTGCATATATACCAATTTTTGCCTCCCCTGTAATACCAACATATGCATATAATGCTCTCCATTGATGAAATAATTAAAAAAAAAAGTCGTTTGGTTTGGGCTTGGTGTATGAGTTTGCCTTTGATCAAAAAATCTTGTTTGGAAAAAAACCAAGCTAATTAAGACGAGCGTTTATCTGCATGATTTATATATTGTATTCAAATTTATTTGGATGTTGAAACCATGAACTTCACTTAATGTGCAAGTTGAGATCGAACGTTGATCTCATGGTTTCTACTTGATAAACCTAAGAGTGTAAGATATGTCTACACACGATTGACCAATGATTTTTCTTATGTGATGGCATAAAGATTCATATTTCTAGCTGCATCTATTGGTGTAGCTAGACATTTCATCGATATCTGCAATGGAGCAACTTGAGCACTTTAGTCACAATCATCCACTCAACCTTGTCCAACTACAGCCAAACCACAATGAAGAGGAAGATGTAGATGACTTTGTGGTTGAAGACCACCATGTTGGCCAATGCAACATGTGTGAGGAAGACATCTATTCATTTCACTTGCGTTACTACACTTGCAAGAATTGCAACTACTCTTTACACAATTTTTGTGCAGAAATCCACAAAACCCTACAAGACCACCCATTACATAATCCTAACCACAATCTTACCTTGTCCAAGGGATTTCAAGATCTAGATCTTTATTTTAGTTTAGATAAAGAATGGACCTGTGGTTTATGCAATCATAAGCAGAAGAACTTGTTCAATTACCATTGTTCCATTTGCAAATTCAATATGGACATAATTTGTGCTACCATGTATCAATAAAAGATAGCCCACCCAAGCCACCATCACCAACTGTAACGTAACCCAAAGAAATTGACATCTAGTTGCAATGCATGTGGTCACAAACATGAAGGGACTTTCTACCACTGCACCACTTGGTATTGGTTTTGGATCCATCAGGATTGTGCTCTCTCTCCTACCAAATTACTTATCCAACAACCTACTAATCACACTTTCACTCATTCTCATCCACTTACCCTCACATATTCCTTTCCCAACATTGATCAAAAAGTTAAGTTCTATCCCAGATGTAGAATTTATGATACAGGCTTCTATATTTACTTTTGGGTTTACAGGTGTGATAGATGTCGACACTATGTCCACATTCACTGTGCAACTTCAAAGTACGGCCAGTTTTTGCGCGCAGGTAATATATATATATATATATATATATATATATATATATTCTTTTTTGATGTTCTCAAAGATTTATTGGTCTTAGATAAAATTTCAGTATTTGTTTTATTTATCAGGTTGTGGAAAGATTTGTAAAAATTTCAAAGATGATGACCATCCTAATCTTCTCTGTTGTCGATTTCCTAATGAAAGTTACAATCTTCTCAAGCACCATTTTATCAATAATGAGAAGGACTTTGTAGTAATTGATGAAAACCATGGTGAACCGCTCAAACATCTTACTCATAATCACCAACTGGTTCTTGTAGACAAGCAAACATCACTCAATAAGAATTCGATTTTACTTCACATCCCCTTGAAGAAAATTCAACTATTATGTGATGGATGTGTGAAACCAATCACAGAAATACCATTTTACAAGTGTTTAAAAGATGTTCGTCTAGATTGTGGGTTTGTTCTTCATGAGTGGTGTGCTAGGCTACCCCCTAAAATAGAAGACCACCCTGGGCATCTAAACCATACACTTTTTCTCATGCCAAACATTACTACTGAAATGTTTCATGTTTTTGGGTGTAAAATTTGCATGTTACCTTCCAATGGTTTTTCGTATGGATGTAGGACTTGTGAGTATTATGTAATTGTCAATTGTGCATTCCTACCCAAAGAAATCACGCATGAAGCTCACCCTGACCATCTTCTCTCAAGAATAGATACTTCATCCAGTTTATCGGATACACCACGCGATGCATGTGGTAATTACCTAATAAATTGCATTGCATTCTTTTGCCCTTCATGCGATTTATACTTGGATACACAGTGTGCTTTTATGTTGCCTGGATTGATTAGGCACAAGTACGATAAGCATCCATTGACCCTAAGATACAATCCAGTCGAGAACCATCCTGGCGACTACTTTTTTGAAATTTGTGAGGAAGAATTTAACCCAGAATCTTGGTTCTATCATTGTGGCACTTGTGTCCAGTCTATGCATACTGCTTGTGCACCCTTAATCATTCAGTCTGAGCAGGCTGTATATACCCATTATAAGAGATCTATTTTCTATTTCGCTAATGTCAAGTTTAGAGGGACGTTTCGGTTAATACAACACCGACATCTTCTAACATTTACTCAAGGGATCAAGTCCCATGGTAATTGCTATTACTGTCGTGAAAAATTGCAGTATAGGATGATCTTTAATTGCTTGAAATGCATGTACACAGTTCATAATGAGTGTCATCAACCTGTCAATGTACTAAGAGTGCTAGTATTCCTACACCTTGCATGGTAGAGAATGAAAAACCAATTATAAAAAAAATTAAAAAGAAGAACCAATCATTGTTGAGTTAAAATGGCAGAGTGTACGTTGATGGTATCATCTCATCTCGTTTTACTGTGAAAGTGAATAAAGGTGCAGCCTTTTTTTTTTTGCGTCCTTCTGTCCCCTGTTTTAATTCATAAAACCTGCATATATACCAGTTTTAGCCTCCCCTGTAATACCAACATATGCATATAATGCTCTCCCTTGATGTAAAGATTAAAAAAAAAGTCGTTTGGTTTGGGCTTGGTGTATGTAGCCATACTCTTTACTTTTGTTATTTATATCGTGAATCATTTTTAACTAGCTTCGGATTTATGAGTTGGTGTGAATCATTTAAAATCATGAAGTATTTTATATTATCTTGTAACAATCTTTAATTCTAGTTGAAGAACTCAATTATTCATGATGGGATGGTGATCACAGGAATAAATATATGAAATGTCCTTTTGCAGAAGAGGGGATGAAAATCTATAATATACAAAGCTTATGTTTAAAACGATATACAACAGTTCAAATTGAAGACAAGAAACCCTATTACATTCCAACTAATCAACTCAAAGATCAAACATCAACCCAATAGTTCCAGAAATTAAAGCTCAAACATCAACTTAATTAACGGTTCCAATTTTATTTTATTTTTAGATATCACAGGTCACTACTAGGAACATTGGTTTTAGAGACAGACGAGTCCGTCGCTAAAGAGCGTTGCGACGGATACACGACAGACTTACTCTATAGCCAATTAAAGTGTGGTTAATGACTTAGTGAGAGATTTAGCGGCGGAGTAGGTTTTTTTTTCTTACGACGGCCATAGCGACGATTGATCACTTACTATGGTTATTTAGGACACAAGCGACATAACTTAATAATATATTTCGTCACTAATCACTTGCAAACCTCAATTTTTTTGTCGGTAATCCCTCACAAATTTAAAATGTGATTTTTTTTCATTTCTGTAGCGAATTCCTCGCAAATTTAGGATGTGATTTTTTTTTTCTTTCCTTAGCTAATCCCTCGCAAATATATAATATCATATTTTATTTTTCGTTATTAATATAAAACAAAAATATCAAAAACATCAAATAATAATAAAATCTCAAACCAAACATTAACATTTAAATACCAAACACATCCAATAATTATACAATCCACACATTAACATTAAAATACCTAAAGCTTCTGTCAAAGTTTAACATTGATTAATATTTGATTTCAAAGTATTATGTACCATAATTTTGAATTTCGTCTCATATTTTGCATTTCCATATACATCTTCTCCATTTCTTAATATCTTATGTCCGAAAGAAGGATTGAAATGAAACTAGATTCTAATTCCTGTTTAGTCCCATGGAAATAGGACCAAGTGCTACTTACTTTGATGCCTTCCTGCTTTTTTCTAAATTAGGGATCTTTGTTGTTTATTCATTTTAAACCAAATGCGGGATATGAATGAAATTGAACTCCAATTATGACCAAAAAGTAAATGAGGAAGGAAATATTATGTTTGCCTATTGGTCTTCAGATTTGAATTTTTGAACATTTGTGTTGAATATTACAGATCATCTACCACACCAAAATTAACAACACAGTTAGCATTTATAAAAAGAGATGTAATAATTTTAATTAGGAAGGAAATTACAAAACTAATATTCTTGGTCTCTAGGTCTTGCCATGTGCCCTTCTCTAATTGCATACAACCACTTTTATCAGCACAACGTTATACCACCAGAAACTATGACAGTTGATTCCTCACAAATAGGAACAAAAACGCACACACTATTTAAAGTTAATATTCATGAAAGATTATTTTATAAAACTAAAAAAAATATCGTATAAGTAACAAATAACTCATTTTTATTCAAATTATCTTCTTTCATTTCCAAGTCAACTTGTAACACTCTAAATTTTCAAATTAAATTTTCATTTTTAATTCCACACAAAACATAGTTTAACATCTCTCATTCCTAATTTGTTAATGTTTCAAAACACAAAACAGAAAAATTGTTTGTCAAATATCCCAGAATCCTCAAAACATAAATCAACAAGCTGGTGTGTACAATCATGCCAGCGCATTCCGGCGATCCTAAGATTTACCTGAAACACATTTCACACATTTCACACAACACGAATGATGAGTCTTCCAACACGAATGATGAGTTTCCCAACCACTAGAAAACTTGCATTGAAGAATAATATTGTTTTTGGGGCAGGAGATTATTGGCGTTCTCCAACATTAACTGCTAACATGGGATTTGTTAGAGCTGTTTCACAAACAGGAATGTCTCTTTTTACCTTTGAGCATAGACCACATGCTCTCACAGGTGATTGATTGATTGATTTGTTTTGGTGGTTATTTTTCTTGTATGTTTTGAAGTTGTGAATGAAATATGTGAGAGAGTATTTTTGTAACACCGTGAATTTGAAAACAAAATTTTCAAATTTTCGTAAAACATAATTCATTTAATATTCATAAAACAACCATATTAATTATCCAATTCAAGTCAATACAAAATCCCAAGATCACAAATGTATAAACTCCGTGTGTGTGTACGGATCAAGCCGGCGCCTTCCCGCGGTCGTCACTAGTACCTGAAACAATAACATCAAACACTGTAAGCAAAAAGCTTAGTGAGTTCCCCAAAATACCACATATAACACATATTAGCCACTCGAGGCTATAACTCTGTGGGTCCGTGCACCCAAACTCTGTGAACCCTCAGGTGCTAACTCTGTAAACATGCACAGCATAAATCACATAGAAATAATGCAGTACAACACATAACATACATAGCATACAAATACTCTATCACATAACTCCGGTTACCTACTCAACGTAAAGTGTAGTGAGAAGACTCACCTCGCGTATCTCGATAAGTCGTAAGTCCTGAAATCACTAGCGCTCGATCTCCTGAGCTATAGTCCTCCTAAATCACAATACCACTTTAATTAACACTTTCCCAACTAAGGTTTGCTACTTCTTGATAAGTCACAAAAGTCAACCCTGGTCAGCGGTCAACTTTGACCGGACTCGGCGAGTGCATATAGCGACTCGGCGAGTCTGAGCGTATACACTAATTTCCCTGAAATCCTCCCTTGACACGTCGAGTATTCCCCTAACACGACGAGTCCCTCCTGGCATGAGTTGTGAGGCCACCACGACTCAACTTGCCGAGTCTCAAGAACAACTCGGCGATTCCAACTTGACTCAGTCCACCTATCCACTCTGATTTCCCCCTGACTCACTGAGTCAACCCTTCCCAACTCGGCAAGACCACACGCTGTATGATCGGGCAATATTCATACTGCTCGCCGAGTCTGTTCTTCGGACTCGACGATTCCATGCCATGCAATTTCTAAAACTTAATCATGAGGTCAGATCCGGTCCTTTAACCCATAGATCCAGTCCCTCCAAGCTTATTTAGCACGTAAAGTCACTATCTTGATGCACATATAATCTCGATATGACCCTAAATGATGTTTTTGTCTTAATTTCAATATCTCAAGGCCATGACTCAATTGCTATACATAAAGCTGGAAGAAGGAGGCTCTCTGGACCTCTATGGGTCCAGATCCAGAGTCTCAACACAAAAAGGGGACTATTTGGCATCAAATCATTCCATAAATGTCCATAAGAAACCCTAGATCTCCCTATACTCCACAAATAAGAAAATGGATCGAATTCATACCTCTAGATCGATGCTCTATGCTTCAAATCCACTGAATAGTAGCCTCCTTTGCTTCCTCTTGCTTAGATCTTCCTCCTTCTTTGCTAGATCACACACACAAGGTCAATAAGGCTCCCTTTCTCTCTCAAAACGCTCCAGCTCTCAAGGGTTTCTCTCTAAGGGTTGGGTGAGCACAAATGACGGCCATAAGGCCCTTTAAATAGGCCGCAAACCCCGGAAATTAGGGTTTCATCACACATCATGGACTCGAAGTCTCACTCTGCAAATAACTCTGGAGGCTGCTCTCGCATCTCACGCTCCGGTTCCCATGTCATCTCGGACCCCTTCCGATGCTGCCATTGAAGCAAGACCAAAGGTACCTCCTTGTTCCTCAGAACCTTGATTTTTCGATCCCTGATGCCCACTGGTCTCTCAGCATAATTCAGGCTCGCATCCACCTGAATATCGTCTAATGGAACCACTGCCGACTCATCGGCTATACACTTCCGCAATTGCGACACATGGAAAGTGTTGTGAATCTGCCCCAATTCTGTCGGTAAATCCAAGCGATAGGCTACCCTGCATACCCTCACGATTACCCGAAATGATCCGATATATCGGGGCCCCAATTTGCCCCTCTTCCTAAATCGGATCACTCCTTTCCAAGGAGAGACCTTCAGGAGCACAAAATCACCGACCTGGAACTCAAGCTCGGACCGACGTCTGTCCGCGTAACTCTTTTGCTGACTTTGTGCAGTCAGTAACCTCTGTCTGACCTGTTGGATCTGTTCTGTCGTCTGAAGTACTATCTCAGTGTTGCCCATAACATGCTGCCCAACTTCTCCCCAGCAAATGGGGGTTCGACACTTTCTCCCGTACAACAGCTCAAAGGGCAGCATACCAATGCTCGAATGATGGCTGTTGTTGTAAGAAAACTCGGCCAAAGGAAAATACGTATCCCAACTTCCCCCGAAATCCAATACACATGCTTGGAGCATGTCCTTGAGGGTCTGAATCGTCCGCTCACTCTATCCGTCGGTCTGGGGGTGATATGCAGTACTAAAATGCAACCTAGTACCCAACTCCTCATGGAACTTCTTTCAGAACCTGGAAGTGAAACGCACGTCACGATCGGAGACAATCGAGATCGGCACCCCATGCCGAGACACCACTTCCCTCACATATATATCTGCTAACTTCTCCGCAGACGAACTCTCATTGATGGCAAGAAAGTGAGCACTCTTCGTGAATCTATCTACAATCACCCAAATTGCATCAACTCCTCGAATAGTCCTTGGCAATTAG